TTTTTATTTTGACCAAGAGATAATTTATCTTCTTTTGCTGAACACTTAATTTCGTATCACACTTATTCACGTATATGCGATATTTAATTCGTTGTTAAATATTTTTGTGAAAAATATCGTGTCGTAAGTTTTCTTCTCACCGTTCAGTTCGTTGTTATACTCCTTTCTAAAGATCACTAATGCAAGTTACAGGAGAAACGTGTCTATAAAGAGTAATAGTAGTAGTAGTAGTAGTAGTTCTCCGCGATTGTATTTCTTTTACTATGAGAAGTATGTGTGTGTATGTGTCACGAGAAGAGCGTAGGTTGGAACGCAGAAAACAAGGTTACTCTACGTCTCGTCGTCGAAGGCCGATCCTCTCGTTACACGCTACACGTTAATAATAATAATAATTATTATTATTATTATAATAATAATCAACAAAAAAAAACTAATAAAATGTTCTTCCTTTCTTTCACCTTTGGGGAAAATTCAATGTTCCTCACACTCTTTCTCTTTCTCTCTTTTATTTTATGCGTTCTTGGAATCTTCTTTCTCTTTTATTTTAATCCCCCACTCTGTATATATCTGCTGAACGTATATCTGTTTTCTTCTCTGTCTCTCTATCTCCCTGTCTTTCTATCAGCAACAACGTGTGTCTTTTCACCTCTCGTCAGAATCCGAAACGCGCGCGCGAGCGAACGAACGAAGGGATACGAGATATGATAAATAGTCAAACGTTAGAGAGAGATAAATAACACACACGAGGGCTGGGGGGACAAAATTATGACAACTCGTGCGTATATATATATATATATATATAAAATAGAAATACAAATAATATTATTCGCAAAAGATAAAGATAAAATAAAATAAAATAAAATAAAAGAAAGAAAAAAACAAGAAGATAAAAAAAAAACTATCACAAAGTTAAGATAATTATTTAATCCAAAGACAAAGATCTCGGATAAAACAGGGGAATAGGGGGGAAAAAAATTATCGTTTGATAAAGGTGGGGACAGAAACAGGGGAACTTAGTACAGTAAGGAAGAGAGGTTGGGTGGTGGTGGTGGTGGTGATGGTAATGATGGGATAGATACGACGATGGGTTGAAGTGAAGTGAGGTGAAGTGAAATGGGGTGGGGTGTTAAAGGGTAATCGAAAAATACTATACTCGATCACAATTCGAATAAGCTCATTCCTATAACGCATGTGCACGAGTAAATGCATTATATATATACATACATATGTGTGTGTGTATATATATAGTATGAAAGAAAGAAAGAAGTCGATCACGTGGTTCCAATGCCGATCTCCATTAGACTCACCTTGTGGTGCTGCATGATGGCAGTGGCCTTTCGCTTCGCGGACATATTCAGAAGTGATGCGTCCCTCTTTCTCTCTTTCTCTCCCTCTCAAGCACACATACACACACCCACACACACACACATACACACACACACCAAACGGAAACACACTCTCAGGCTCCCCCTTTTTTATTTTCTTCTTTTTCTTCTTCTTTTTTTCTTTCTCTTTCTATCTTTCTCTATCACTCAATGTGCGTATGTGTGTATATATATATAATATATTTATATATGTGTGTGCGTGTGTATATATATGAGGTGGTGTCTGTCTGTCTCTCTCTCTCTCTCTATCTCTTCTGTTCGGAGTAAAAAAAAAGTTCTCTTTCTCTCGCGTGCACTGCCTCTCTCCTCTCCTCTCCTCTCTTGGATTCCTCTATCTCTCTCTCTCTCTCTCTCTCTCTCTCGTACCTTCTCCCCTTTCGTTGGGCGAGTGTGTGTGTGTGTGTGTCTTCCTTCGTTTCTCTTCACTGCTATATATCTTCCTCTAGTTTCTTTTTCTTTTTCTCTTTCCCCTTTTTTTTTTCACAGGGAGGAGCGAACCCACCACCCGCGTCAACTTAAAACCACGACGACAACGACGACGACGACGGCGACGACTACGATGACGAAGATTCACCCCCTTGGTTAAGATCGAAACCAGAGGAAACTTACTTCAAGTCTGATTTTTTTTTTTTATTCTTCTTTATCTTCTATTTTATTTCTTTTATTCTGGTTTTTCTTTTTTTTTTTGTTACTGTGCTTTCTCACTTTCTTTCTTTTTTTTTTTATTTTTATTTGTATATATGTGTGTATCTATCTAACACGTTTAACGCATCGCATGATCTTTCTCCTTTCACGCACAAGCTACTCTGACGTTGATACCACGTAGCAAAGTTCGTCGCTTTGGTCTCTCTCTCTCTCTCTCTCTCTCTTTCTCTTTGTCTATTTATCTTTTCTCTCTCTCTCTCTCTCTCTCTCTTTACTCCCCCTTGTCTCTCTCTCACTCTCTCTCTCTCTGTTTCTTTTTCTTTTTAATCTATCTCTGAACCAACAAACACTTTACGCACTATCTGTCTGTCTAGTGGTATTGCAATTGCTTTTACTACTTTTGTTTCTTTTACTACTCGAATCCGTCATTGTCCCACTACCTTTAAAAACAGTATATATATATATATGTATATAAGAAAAAAAGATGATTTTTCAGTGTCTTTCTTTTTTTATTTAACTCTTTTTCTCTATCTCATATGAAAGAGAGGAGTCGAAAACGGAGGAGTAGGCGATCGACGTAGGACGACGACACGACGACGATGACGACGATGACGACGATCAGGCCGCGCACGCACACACACGATGCAGTTTAACTTATCCGGCGCGAAGTGCAAACTCCTCCCCCACCAATCGTACGAACGAACGAACGAACGAACGAACGAACGAACGAACGACGACGATGTATATATCCGTGATCCACCAACGATCAGCTGGTTGGTCTCCTCTTTCAAATTCCAAACAATTCCACCCCCGTGACTTTTATATATATAAATATATGTATATGTATATATATTTTATTCTTATTTTTTTTCTGTTTTT